AAAGGAAAACCATCTAGCTGAGCTTCAACAATCTGCAGATTCATGAGAGATAATAATGAATTGTTATTTTAAGCTACTAGGTTTTGAGGTGATTTATTATGAAGAAATAGTAACTGAACAGCAGCTAACAGTATAAAACTTAAGCTCCATGAGAATTGGAACTTGGTTATCTTTCCTGCAGTATTACCAGCCTCTAGATAAGTGCCTGGCACATAATAGATATATCAATAAATATTTGTGATGAATGAACAACTGGTAATATTACTGATTTGAGAAAAGAATTTGAAAAGCCACTTATCTTTTAAACAGCTAAGCAAAGTTGAAATGTTTGTCTTCTTTCTGTTTAATAATAACTTGTTCAAGCAGAGAAAGTTTTTAAAAATGCTATTAATCTTAAATCTACATTCAGAAGTAGGTTGCATATTTGACCTACCTAGAAGTAGGTCTCTGAAAAAAATAGAACGTGATGACCTAAATATTTAAAGGCTTCATTAAGAATGTTGTTTCGAGGCTTTACAATCTCTTAAATTGGGTCTTTAAAAAACCTTCTGTCTTATGTTTTGCTGTTCCTCCAGAAGTAACAGGGTTAGTGATGAAAGAAAAAGATGCAACAAAAGAACAATAAGAGGCAACGTACTCTTTTGCTTTGGTGATGTTGCAGGATTTCTGAGATATTTGTAATACAAAATGTAATCAGTCAGTCTCTGTCTCCCTTTCTTTCTATAAGACACATTTTAAATGGCTTTTCCCCCATTTCCATGCTCCTTATCTGAAGCCACAGCATCAGTTCCAAGCCAGCACCAGAAAGAAAGACTGATACAGAAATGACTGAATAATGACTGGATGATGGCCTGAGGAGCAATAAATAGAGTCAATCAGAGTTGAATATTCTATGACTCTATGCAAGGATTTCCCTAAATCCCTAAATACTAAAAATAACGTGAATAATAAATAGGAGCTCATTTATATTGTTTCTTACCTGGGCAATTAAAACACAGCATCTGCTACTATACTGGCCAAGCAATATAAAGATATGTGAAATCATAATGCCATATACTGAAAACAAGTAAAAGTGAAATAAAAAGTAAAATTTAAATATTATACAGAAACATACTGGTATGTTACAAATAAACAAAAAACACCTGGTTGTGTAACGAGATCATTGAAAAATAAAAGGAAATTTGAACTAATTGTATAATAAATGTAGTAATCATTATATAGTTCAGTCAAAATATTAGGTGATTTGTGTTATGCTTACCCTGAAATGCAGGAAGACATTCAGAGAAAGCCTTGGCTTTGATATTTTCCGTACAAAATGCTATAAAGCAGACAAATATGGCAAAATTGCTCAAATATCATGAGCTCTAAATGGAATTTCTACTACCAAATATGTATGTATTTGTATTAATCAATATACATTCTTCTGGAAATAAAAAAAGGCCCAAGGCCTATTTTAGAAATTGATCTATTTTTCTTCAGTGGCCCCTTCTATTTCCATATGTGGATGTCAATAATCCTACACATAAATTATTACTTTGCTTGCATTTGAACCATAAACAGAGTTGATTGTCAGGTAACTTTTCTGTTTAAGAATTAGATAACCTTTCCAAAGTTTATTATCTCTCATGTAACTGAGAAATTTTCCTGCTCATCAACTGTAATCCATTTCATCTCAGGGATTACTTCTCAATTCCCAGGTACTGCTTGTCTCATTTTAACTAAATCCATATTCCCAAATCATTTATCTTTACAATAACTCTTCTGTTACCTTTTTCCTCACAGGAAGCAGACAAGGTAGCAATTTTGATGTTACCTACTATATACTTTAGAATATCAATACATTGAAAAATCACAGAACTCCAGCTGTGCTCAGGATTGTATTCTTCTAGCTAGTGAGCCACTCTTCTACAATTCTATTCACAAGTGCTCCCAAGATTTTAGTTTTACTGTTGGGGCACTGACAGTGGTGGCAAAAAGAAAAAAAAAATATATGGGAGTACATGGAATTTGCAACCCAAATGCTCTGAATTTAAGGCATAGGGATTTATACCTAATAAGTGCCTCTGATTTTCACCATTTCTCCTAATAAGTAATCCAGCCCTATTACTTCTAAAGCAGAAGAAAAAGCATCCAGACTAAAAAAAAAACATTCCTTCTCTCAGGCTGTTTTATAGATTGGTCTTTGTCAGGACAAGATAGTTATCAAGCAATCAGTGATGGCTATTTGAGATGCATAAAAATATTTTAATTGTTCGTACTTGTTCTTTTCTTGTATATTTTCAACTTGTACCCAACAGGTTATCTGTAAGCACAGCTGGAATTCAGGGTGCTTCCAGCCCTTCAGTTCAATCCTTCCAAGCTGAGGTATAGAAGCCTCCTCAAACTACATGCTCAGGGCCCCACTCTCCTTTTCTTGAGATTATGGGTATTTTGAGGATATTGAGTAAATACAGAAGAGTGATATCCATGCACAAGTATTTGGGAACAAAGCAAAGACATCTGGCACAGACAGGAATCATTCCTGAGTAATGATGAGATGCTAAATGTTGACAAGTTGGAGATAAGATGGTTACATCCAGCTTGGAGGTGGCCGTTGAGTCTTCCAATAGTGCCTCCTACAGTTAGGATGATCAAACCTCCTAATTTGTTGAGGACATTCCAGTTTATGCCTATTATACCTATTATGGTTATGTAATTGGTGTCCCTTTTTAAGTGTCTTCGTTTGGGCAAAAAATTACATAGCCACCCTATTTATTTATGGTAGAATTTTCCCAGAGGCACCCACTTTTCTGCAGAATGTTCTCCCTTCTTGGGAGCCTTTCCTCTATCAATTCCCTGGATCCTGGGTCTCCTGCCCAGCCTATTAACCGCCTTCCCTCCTCTCCTGACCTTATCCCCAAATCTTTGAATCTCCTGAAATTCTTTCCTTCTCCCTTCCATCACCTGGAAAGCTATCTTTCTTCAAAATCCTTCAAGATCACTCTTCTGTCTATTCCCTGATCCTTACCATCTTTCACAAACTTTAGACCAGAGAATGCTATTTCACCTGCACAGGTGGTCAGCAATTTGTACCATACTGGTGGCACTGGTCTTAAATATTTTTAAAACACCTCTGATCCAGAATCCATCAACCCAGGAATCTCCCAGACTTACTACACCAGCCTCTCATAGCAGACATCTGTATTTTTCCCAGAGCTCTACAGGTGATTCTCACATACAGTGAACACTGACTAGTCCTGGCCTATGTCCCAGGCAGTTTTCATGACATCTCATTAATTATCATAATCTTACAAAGGCAACATAGTGTAGCAGTTAGGAGCAAAAGGTTCTGAAAATAACCTTACAGGACTAAATCCAGGCTTCTACACTTACTAAGTAACCTTTGAAGTTACTAATGCTCTCTGTGCTTCTAAAATACATCTAATTACTTATCCTTGTACCTATGATAAGTATTAAGCAAGTTAATACATGTAAAGCACTTCATCAGTCCCTACTACAGTAATTACTTTTAAATGTAATTATGACCTGTTTTACAGTTGAGGACAATTCCAAGATGGCATGGCTAGTGGTGATCCTGAGATCTAAACCCATGTTTTCTGAATCTAAATTTCATGCATTTTCTGACATCACTGCTACCAGGTGCTCTCCTATACATAATAAAAGGCAGTATAGTAGGCCTGATGAATGGTATGGGAAGAAGTCCTTTATCATGTGACACCACATAACAGCTGCCTAACCACACAATATAGATATGAATAGAGAAGACGACTCAGAAATAGAGTGTACTAGTATTAGTGACTCAACTAGTGACCATTATAAAAGGAATGAAGTTTTGAGTGATCTACAGGAGTTTTAAATGCATTTTATACTGAGTCATTATTTCATGTTTTTAATATTGTATTGAACTAAAAATAAACTAGGTAATTTGTTCCCATAACAAATCTACAAAGACATGCCTACAAATTTTCCACTTAGTCTATTTTTCTGTTTTCAGCATTACTACAAATGCCTCATTCAATCATCATGTTGAATTCTTCAGCATATTCTGTATCATTTCCAGGGGCATCTCTGGGAATAGATGCCTATCTTCCCTCAGAAGCACACTGATAACCCCAATATACTCACAATTCACACCTTTTCTCTTCTCTGAGATGTGCTGCTTTTTGGCTCAACAGAAAAAACACACTACTAGAATTTGAAAAACTAAATCCCCAGCCTGGTCAGGTAATAAACTACAGACAACTTAGGTCATATATTCTCCCCACGTGCTTGTTTCTCTACAGCAAGAGAATTCATATTTGCTTGGTCCTTAGTAGTCCTTTACTATTTCATTTATCTTCAGATAACCCTTAAATTTAAGTAAGATAGCATTAGGCTAATTTTATAGAAGAAATTCAATCTCAAAGAGGATATAGTCCCCAAAAGATCCCACAAGTAGTAATATTTTAGGCAGAGCTAAACTCATACACACTCAAGATCCTACGTGCTGTGCTAACAAGTTTGCTAAAACGGATGAAGCAGCAATTTCTCGGGTCCCTTCCAATGATCCTGTTCTCTGCTTCTACTTGCTATTTTTTTCTCTCTTCTCTCAACTAGGGTTAACATTTGAAACCATATATAATCACCAAATTTCATTTTCATGGTTTTTAAGTTTTTCTTTAAATTTTTCTATTTCCATGTTAAATCCAGAGAAATGTAAGTTTTTCAAAAGTTTCTACTGCTGTCTGCCTCTCTGAAGGCCATGGGACTAACCTCTTTGTCAAAGCAGAAATTCCCAACATTTTGTAAACACCACAAATTACTTTTTATAACTGTAAAGACAATTATTCCATACTTAAAACCAAATCAAAATAAAATAAATCCTCAGTACTTCTTACTCCCTGGAGTAGTAATTTTAATTAGATTCTATTGATTCGTTATTTTCTCCTGTGTGCCTTTATTTGGGAAATACTGTTAGTGTACCTTGCTATCGAGTCTTTCCCTGACAAAAAAAATGACAGTTTAAGAGTCAGGAAAGCTTTTATTTTCACTATCACATATGAAGAATGAACTAAACACTTAACATGGAAAGTAAAACTTAAATGAGGGATTCAGGACATTTCCCAAGGGGTCGTATGACCAATTTAAAAGTTGGCATGATGTGCCTAAAACAACACATTAATTCTTTTACTTATAATAAAGGTACAGATGTGCCGATAGTCATGCTGACATGTACACATGAAATATTCCTAAACAAAATTAAAAGAAAACAAAATACATGCTATGGCAATCTTGAAAAGTCAGGGAACTCAATAAACATTAAGAGTATGTTCTCACAATAAGAGCATGAAACACTTGGTAATTAACATAATATGCAAAAAATGAGAAAATATACAGGATGAAAGATGAGGAGTACACATAGCAAATTTTTGTGATTTTCTTCATTTTGGTTCTATCGCTTTCTTGTCTTCAGGAGAGAAGACTTTGACTTCAAAAGTAACAAAATATTTAAGAAGGGAATTCACATCTTTCTGTTCTAAAAGGTACTCTTGTGCTATTTTCTCAGCAGTCCATGTTTCTGGATAACGTTTATGATTATTGAGAAGTGTCAATGCTTCCACAATAGAAATTTTGCCTTTGGGAATGCTCTTAATATTTATTACATCAAAGTGTTGGCCTTTTGGCAATCTGAATTCCTCTGGCTCTTGATGTGTTTCAGCAGCTTTTACCTAGTATCAAAAAAAAAAAAAGCATGAGAGAAAAGATTTGATCTACTTTCACACTTCTCAAATCTACACTATTCCTCTTCAAATAACAGCTGATATGATTTGGATCTGTGTCCCCTCCCAAATTTCATGTCACAGAATTGTAATCCCCAATGTTGGATGTAGGGCATGGTGGGAAGTGACTAGATCATGGGAGTGGATTTCCCCATTTGGTGCTGTTCTCGTAATAGAGTTCTCACCAGATCTGGTTGTTTAAATGTATGTAGCACCTCCCCAACATCCCCTATTCTTCTTGCTCTGGCCGTATAAGCTGTGCCTGCTTCCCCCTCTGCCATGATTATAAATTACCTGAGGCCTCCCCGGCAGCAGAAGCCGTTATCCTTCCTGTATAGCTGGTAGAATTGTGAGCCAATTAAACCTCTTTTCTTTATAAACTGCCCAGTCTCAGGTATTTCTTTATAGCAGTGCAAGAATGAACTAACACAAATACTATACGTGATTTCCCAAACTTCGTTTTCTTATATTGAGCCATAGTTTAATTGTACTTTTGCCACATTGCCTTCTCCTAACTATAGCTCTATCATTATTAAGAAATGTAGGTAGCTCTAGAAAATAATAATCAAATTTATACTATCCACTCACCACATTATTTCATGCGTTTTAAAAGCACAATGAAAAGGATTAAAAACTGCACCTGTTTTAAAAGGGCAGGATTCTGATGCCACCCTAACAGCTGGCCTGATAACATCTATTCATTTCCCAGCTTTGTATTTCATACTCAATGCCCCCAAACACCTTGAATAGTGAGTGATCTTGTCTCCTCTGAGAAAATAAACTAATGCCTCCAATACACTCCAGTATAAATAAAACAACCTATGCACACCCATCCTTCCATCTATCTGTCCCATCCCAGCTTAACCACCACACATGTGCTCTGCATTCCAATCCTGTTTCCTGGCCACACCTATCATTCTTTTTTTTTTTTTCTTTTCCTTTGTTTTACTGCACTGTACCTACCGCTGCTTTTTGGTCAAACAAATGCCATAGCCAGTACCATTTTTAACATACCGACCAAACCCAAAACCAACACCTCTTTTATTACCAGTTTATTTCTCTTCGGTTAATGTTTAAAAGAAATACTGCTTGTGATCTCTAATGACCGCCTAGTTGCTTAATTCAGAGAACACTTTTTAGATCTTATTTGAGCTCACTACAGCATCTCACTGCACCTGACACTGCTGACCACACCAATGTACCTATAACTATCTTCTCCGTTGGTTTCCATGCCACCCCTCTCAGAGTTTTCCATCTGTTCTTTCGGTGGGTCCTTTGGGGGTTTTTTCACGGACACTTTTGCTTACCCCTAAATGTCAGTGTGTGACATTTAAGAGTGCCCAGGCCTTCCTCTCACTCTACACATTTTTCCAAAGTAATCTCACACTTCCCTAACTTCTATTACTGCCTACATGTTAATTACTTCCAAAGCTGTGATCATAAACCTAGACCTTTTCTTGATTTCCCAACCCAAATGCTTAACAGGTATCTCCATTCAAATGACCTATGTGCTCCTCAAATTAAATGTATCTGAAACTGAACTTATTACCAGTTTTACTCCCACATCCTCAATCTCAATGACCAATACCACCCACCTCCCATGCCAAAAATGAGATTATACCTGCACCTCCCTCTCCCTCACTCATTATAGCCAATCAGTGACCAAATCCTGTTGATACTGCATCACGTCTCTCTCAAACCCATTCACTTCTCCCTGTATTGGTAAATCACCCTAGTCCAAGCCAATGTCTCTTGGAGAAATGACTGCAAATACCTCCTATCTGATCTGTTTCTCCATCCCAACTCACTTCTCCCAAATTCACACCTCACATTTTCCCACAACTGCACTGTTTTCTTTATTTTTTTTTTTCTGAGACGGAGTTTTGCTCCTTACCCAGGCTGGAGTGCAATGGCACAATCTCGGCTCACCACAACCTCTGCCTCCTGGGTTCAAGCAATTCTCCTGCCTCAGCCTCCCAAGTAGCTGGGACTACAGGCGTGCGCCACCATGCCCAGCTAATTTTTTTCTTTGTATTTTTAATAGAGACGGGGTTTCACCATATTGACCAATATGGTCTCGATCTCTTGACCTCGTGATCCACCCGCCTCGGCCTCCCAAAGTGCTGGGATTATAGGCGTGAGCCACAGCACCCATCCGAGTTCTAACCATTCTTCAAAGGCATCACACACTCTTATATCTTTATATTGCAAACTAGGCCTGAAACACTCTTCTCAATTTCTTCACTTTTCAAATCTCAAAGCTTCTCTCATTTTCCTATTCCCAGGTAAGGTAGATCTTCCTTTCACTCCAAACACATCTGTATTCAGATTTCCTTTCTAATTAATAGTAAATATTAAAATTAATAATAATTATTTGACACAAAAAATATCTAAGAATATTCAAAACCCTCTCTTTACTGAAGAAAAAAAAAAAAGAAAAAAAACCCCTTAGGAAATTAAAAATGGAAGAAAATATCCCAAGTGTGATATAAATATTTTTTAACTGAAAACAAGTATCATTTTATTATATCATGCTGAAACATTTGAGACATCCTATGGAAGGAACAGGTAAGAATGCCTACTTTCTCTGGCATGTTAATGTTATATACAACACAACAAAAGAATTAAGTATAAATACTAGAAAGAGAAATTTATAATTCTATATAGATATAAGAATATCTTTAGAAAACAGAATTAACTGAAAACCTAACAGAATAACCTAGCAATGTGGGTAGCTACACTATAAAAACCACTCACTTCCTGATATACAGTAGTCTCTGGCTTTATCTACAGTTACAGTTACCTAAAGTCAACCACAGACCAAAAATATTAAATGAAAAACTCCAGTAGTAAACAATGCAAACCATTCTGAGCAGCATAATGAATTTTTATGCTATCCATTGCATCCTGTCTAGGATGAGAATACTCCCTTTGTCCAGTGTATCCTCGGTGTACAGGCTACCTGCCTGTTAGTCACTTAGTAGCCATTCTGGTTATCAGACTATGTGACATGACTGTGCTTGTGTTCCAGTAACCTTTATTTTATCAAGAATGGCCCCACAAGAGCAGTGATACTGGCAACTCAGTTATGCCAAACAGGAGCCATAAAGTGCTTCTTTTAAGTGAAAAGGTGAAAATTATTGACATAATAAGGGAAAAAAAATTATATGCTGAAAGTGCTAACATGGATAATAAGAATGAATCCTCTAACCCTGAAATTGTTAATTGTTCTATTTTATTATTAGTTGTTAATATCTTACTATGCCTAATTTATAAATTAAACTTTATTTATAGAAAAAAGCAATGTATATAGGGTTCGGTGCTACCCTCAGTTTCAGGCATCTACTGGGGTCCTTGGAACCTATCCCTGATAAGACTACTGTATTAGCAATAAACAGTTTAAAAAACTGAAAGTGAAAAAAGATCCCATCATAGTAGCAACATTCCCTTTACCCTTCAAGGACTTAATAAATTAAAATGTTAATTCTCCTCAAATTAATCCATAAATTCTCATTCAATTATACTAAAAATCCAAACAGGACTTACTAAAGAACCCAACAATTTCATTCTCAAATACATCTGGAAAAATATTAATGTGTGAAAAGAGACAAGAAACTTTTTAAAAGAATGAGAGAAGGTTATAAGAGATACCAACACACATTATAAAGTTCTATTAATTAAAACTATGGTTCTAGTGCAAAAATAGAAAAATAAGTAAAACTGATGAGTCCATAAATAGTAGACACGTGTATCTGGAGATGCATTTTAAGTAAGTGGAGAAAGGTCTGGGCTATTCAACAAATTATATTTAGACAACTAGCCATCTGTTTAAAAAAAGGTTCAACTGATCTCTTCCACACATCAAAAACCACATCTAATGCCAGATAAAGATTTTAATATAAAATGTAGTTATAAAACTACTAGAAGAAAATATAGAAGAGTTTATATGATGGTAGAGTGGGCCCAGTATTCCTTTACCATGAAAAACAAAAAGACTGAAATATTTGACAGAATTTTCAATAAATATGTTAAAAAGTCAGACAACAAATAAATTATTGCCATATGAAAGGCACAGTATCACTGATGTCCTGAGGCATCACAAATCATTAAGAACACTATGAAATGCCAGAAGGAAAGAAAGGGACAAAGAACATAAATAACGGGCAATTCCAATTTTCATTATCACTTCCCCTAAGGAATCTTTTCAGACTTTTCCTAATGCCCCCATGAAATTTTAGTATCACCATATACGTATCTCTTTATGTATTATACGTATAACTGAGTCTTATACATAAAAAGTATTAATTATTTTTTTTTTTTTTTGCTCCCAAGAGTGAATTTTCAGATGCATAATTAAGTAACATAAGAGAAAGAATACTTGGGAAGTATTACTTAACACCTATTTTAAAATAACATAAAGGCCACAGACATTAACTCTATGCCTTTTTAATGTGAGCATTTAGTGATAACTGAACCCTACAATTACTACTATGTCTAACAATTTACAAATTTTTGTTTTATTTTTTCTGGGTAGAGAAAATTATATTAATAATTCTATCTGTGCAAATATCCAGAGACAGAAAGACAGTACCAAAATATTTATAATGAAAAAAAAAAAAATCTGGAAGTTGTTGGCATTTCCTTGTCCTTTAATCAAACTTTTATCCCTAACTAGAATCTTCCTGCCCCCACAAACTCATCTGGTTAACTCCAACTGATCCCACAGGCCTGAACATTAACTATCACTTACTCAGAAACCATCCCTGATCCTCTAATTTCAAAGGGGTCCCTCCAATATACTCTAATAGTGCCCATACTTTTCCCATAATTATGTATTTATGGTCACATCGTAGCTTATTTGCTTAGTGTCTGTGTCCTTCACAACATCATAAGCCCTGTGAGAGCAAGGACTAGTTTTGTTCATCATTATACACAAAGCACTTGTGCCCAGGACTTACATAATACAGTATATAGATTTACACATAGGTTCCCATTCCCAATGTATTCTTTGATCCTTCTCCCAATTTTAAATATCCTATCTGAATATATCCTTAAAAAAAAACCAAACAAAAACCCAGCAACACTACTAAAGGAGTATCTGAGATTAGAACATACCTCAATTCAGAGAAGAACAAGAAAATATTACAGCTCTGCTTTTGTCACTCAAATAACAACCACTGGAAGTTAACAACTTACCAAATCCTACAAATTCTGAAATACTATAAAATAATTCACACAGTTGCTCTGCATCAATACTTCCACAAGTTATCTTAGAATTCTCATAAATATCCAATGAACCAAGGCCTAAGTGTCTTGCTGTCTTAGACCACTGTGCTTAAACTTTGCCCAGGCACAGTAGACTGGTCACAACCCTGACACTTGCAGAGTACTGTTTTTACAACTTGCCACACTTTATTTTCCTGGAGCCTCAAAATAAGTAAATTGTATATTTTGTGTATTCACTTAATTAAACACACATTTACCTGCACGGAAGACACAGGATCTTTGGAATCAACATACACATCTTTTAGAAACGACAGTAGTTTGTCATCTTTACGAGCAATCTCTCCCTTAATTTCTGGATTGACTAAGAAAAGGAAAAAAGTCACAATATTAAAACCAAGGAAAATTTCCTGTAACATCCTAAACGCGTAACACAAACACACACTTTCTTTTTTTTTTTTTTTTTTGAGACGGAGTCTTGCTCTGTCGCTCAGGCTGTTGTGCAGTGGCGCGACCTCATCTCCCTACAACCTCCGCTTCCTGAGTTCGAGAGACTCTCCCACCTCAGTCTCCTGACTAGCTGGGATTACAGGCGCGCGCCACCACGTCCGGCTAATTTTTGTATTTTTTTGTAGAGATGGGGTTTCGCATGTTGGCCAGGCTGATCTCGAACTCCTGACCTCACGTGATCTGCCCGCCTTGGCCTCCCAAAGTGCTGGGATTACAGGCGTGAACCACCGAGCCTGCCCTAACCACTTTAATTTTTTTTTTTTTAAATAAACAATCATTTGGACTGTTAGGAAAATACTTTAAATGGAAATCAAAATTCCAGGTCAGGCTCGGCGTCCATCGTCCAGTGAAGAACCCTAGAGAAACTTCTGTGACCCTCTCGGATTTTAATTCCCTGTATCAAGTCCGTGACGAGAGCAGGCAAGGGCAGGGTTAGCCGGTGCACAGGCCGCTGCCTCCGGGACTCGGAAGTAGGTGGCACCGCCCGCCTCACTGCGGGCGCGGAGGGCAGTCTCAAAGTCATAGTCCTGGCGGCTCCCCTTCCAGCGCTCCGCCGACCGGAGCGGCCGCGGCCGAGCAAGCTGAACGCCGGTCCCTAGACCTCCGGACACACGCAGTCCATGCGTGGCACAGCCGAGCAACACAGGGAGTCCGCGCCCCCGCGCCCCGAAACACCCTCGCACCACTCACCACCCATCTGCGTTTGCAGGAGGCTATTGGTAGAAGGGTGCCTGGGAGCGGGAGAGGGCTTCATCTTGCTGATTTCCCGCTCCGCTCTGTTTTCTACGTTGAAATTTCTCATCCCGCGAATCACCAAACCCCCCATTTCTTCATAACATGATGTCCTCAGGTTCACGTCGCACGAGGAAACACCGGCGAAAAGGGGGAGGGGGGAACAACTTCCTGGGCGCCTGGAGCATGCGCACATGTGCCCGGTCGAGAGAGCGTAAATGCGTGCCCTTCGCCCCCTAGCGGTCGGGAGGCCACACACCGATTCTCCGCCAAGGGTATTTGAAAGGGAGCCCCTCCCTTCGGGGCGCGTGGCGGCTCCCACCGGCGCCGCTTCCGGCGGGAGGGACAGTGCTTATGTCCTCCGACCCACGGATTCTCTCAGCCCTGGAACCCCGAGGGAGTCACCCGGCAAGCTCTGAAAAGCTCCGTGCCGGGCACTACCCCCAGACTTTCTGATTTAATTCTTGTGGAGTGAGGCCCACCATTGGATAAGACTTCCCACGTGATTCCAAAGTTACAGTGAAAAGTTGAAAATCAAAGTCGTAAGGAAATTGACCTTTTAAGTTGTTTCACGGGGCCATGCTACCAAAGCGCTAGCCGATAAAAATGGAACCGATTACACTGGGCTCTCAAGTTGCCCTTTCCCGCTTTTGTGAAAGGAAAATAATGAAAGGAAGTTCATTGTCGATGAATATTTGTTCTAGCCACTCTCATTTAAATGCCTCTTATTCCTCCCCCCCACCCCGCCTGTTGTATTTTTCAAGCCACTGCATTCTCTTTTTCCATTATTTTTTACATCCCGTTCTAATTTGACGTACTGGTATCGATTTTAGTTATGCTGTCCTTTCTCTTATTTTTGCTGCTAATTTATTTCTCCATACTACTAAATGCTGAGTCATTCCCTCTCCTATTTCTCTTCTATTTTGCCTTCCTCATTCTTTTTTAAGCCTCTGCAATTTAATGAAAAGAACAGCCAATAAGACATCAGGGGGAAAAAAAAAAAAAAACCTCCACCAAAAAAACGAGTGTTAAATTCACCTTTCTCTCTTTCTCTCCTTTTCCTGAATGGATTACTTTAGTGCTGCTTTTAAGACTCTTTAGAGAAATATTGCTATTAATCTACAATAAAACCCATCAGGAAGGAAGTAGCAGGATTTCCGAAGTTACAATATTTCTTTCACTGTGACTGCAAAATCTGTTTTTAGTGTTCTGAGTTCTGCTTAGCAGAACAAACTAGAGTGGTTGTTTTTAACCAGTTTAAAGTAAGAAAATATTGTTGTAAAGATAATCGAATAGAATAATAATAAAACAAGAATAAAGAACCAAAATGAAGGGACAGTTTTTTTTGAAGAAGAAAACTAATGCTATCATTAAATATAATGCTTAATCATAGCAAAAGTACTGCAAAAAAGACAGCTTCAGCCACTCTCATTTAAATGCCCCTTATTTAATTATAACAAAACATTTTTACAGGGATTGGTATTTGGAATTTATAGAAGCTGAAATCAGTGATCTCTGATAGAGTTAACTGGGAAGTTATCCTGAAGGTGGCAGGCTGCTCCAAGATTTCTGTCTGATACTTTTAAGCATGCTTGTGATTCAGGGCTTTTTAGCCAAGGTATTTCTATTTCTATGGGTGCTAAGAAATTTTAATCTGCTTTATTATGTGCTTTAATCATGGTAGCAGTTCTACTCACTGCTAAAATATTTTAAAAGTGAAAATCTCATTTTCATAGAAATTCCACTGAACTTTGGGCAGCATGGAAAAGTATGTTAAAAGTTACTGTCGGAGCAGTAGGGATTACAATATGAAATAATTGTTTGAATTCACATATTCAAATAGAGCTTGGATTCAGCACTGAAAGAGCTTCCAGCATGTGTCAGCTGCTTTGCCTGATCCTGGCCTAGTGCTGCCCAGGCCCTCAAATTGCAAAACAGAAGGTAGATGCTCTCCATCAGAAACTCACAATTGGCTGTTAGCCTTTGGGAATCATGGAAATAAAACCTGAACCATAAATGCATAATTCCAGCTCTTCTTGTCAAAACATAAATTAACTGGAACTCTGAACTTAAGAACTCCCATTTGGCTTATGTTGAGAATTGAAGTCAAATCCCCAAGGAAAGTACAACTAGGATGCTGATTAGAATGAAGCTTCCATCTGAGTGGAGTATTATGATGTGTGTATATGACTAAATATCATAAGATATTAATAAAATAAACCCAGGGTCTTGACAACACACTGGAATGTAAATTCTGAGGACAGAAATTTTGTCTGTTTTGTTCACTGCTTTATCCAACACATTGAACAGAGCTAGTACACAGTAGATACTAAACAAATATCAAATAAAGGTCAAATGAACTGAAAGACAAGTAGGATCCCTGAGCTGGAGTCCAGACCCTGGACAAGCTTTCTCTGCCTGAACACTATCCCTGCTTCCAGAAGTGAGTCCTTATGCTAGTTGCTTAATCTGGTTAAACACACTTTCCTCATCTTAAAATTTGGATAATAGTAATCACCTCAGGTGTTTTACACAGATTAAAAATATGTGTCTAGTACAATGCCCAGCTCTGAATCTTATGTTCAATAGTTGCATTGTGCTTCATTTTTCAGAAAAGGGAGCAGTTTGATAATGAACACATTCTGAAGTTCTGGTGAATAGGTGAATGAACGTGATAAAAGATATACACTGAGACTCCTGTTCGTCAATCATTTAATTTTTAAAAAATAGGTGTCCTAAATTTGATTTTTACTTTGTGATTAGCATGCTCAGCACACGTGGTAGCATTGTTGGATTTATTAAAGTTGGAATGTGGGTGGGAATCATTAGCTCTGGGGCATAAAATGCCACCTGCCTCAGCCTGGCATTGGCCACAGAAATAGTCCCCACTTTGTTTCCCTCTGCCCTCCCATCTTTCTCTCTACCTAGTTTCTACCTAGACTTTGACCATGTGCACTCCTTCCTTTGAACATAATTCAACAATATTCTGCATTCTCCAGAGAATTACAGTAACTAAATCCAGGTAGCAGTTGACTCAAGGGGCCCAGGACGGCCCTCAGAGGTTTCATCAGGTGCTCCAGCCGCTAGTGAGGGGCACAACAGATTTATGGAGGAATGACTTATTCTGGCAGAGGTTTTGGTCTTCAGGCAGAGAGAACCTCTCCAGGGCCTGGATTCCAGTTTAGGAACCAGAATTTGTAGGAGTCTAACTGAAGTAATTTACAAAATTCCCAAGCTTGGCCAATTTCAGTGATGCAGTGTTGTGGGTCTGTAAAAACTAGAATACTGGGGGCAGGGGGTAGTACCCCAAACTCAAAACCAAAACACACTAGGCTTTGTGCAGATCCAGTGTTCATACTGAGGAACAATGGGTCTCAGATTAGAGATTGGAATTATCATCCCAGCAATTATGCCCAGATGCCTGCTTTGTGGTTACTGCATTCATGACTTTTGTCATTGTATTAATTTCCCATTGCTGCTAGCAAATTATCACAAATGGTTTAAAATAAAACAATTTATTATCTTACAGTTCTGGAGGTCAGAAGTCCTAAATGAGTTTTTTAAGGATAAAATTAAGGTGTCTGCCGAGTGATATTCCTCCTGGATTCTCTGGAGGAGAATCTCTTTCCTTGCCCTTTTTTCTGGGGTGGTGGTCTTCTAGAGGCTTCCCTCCTTTCTTGTCAGCCAGCAGTTGCATCACTTCATTGTCACATCTCCTTCTCTGTGACTTTCCTGCCTCCCTCTTTCCATTGTAACACCCTTATAATTGCATTGGACCTATGCAGATAATCCAGGATAATCTCCCCATCTCAAGATCCTTGATGTAATCACATTTGTAAAGTACCATTTGCTATGTAAGGTAACATTCATAGGTTCAGGGATTAAGAGACAGACATTTTTGGAGGGTTTATTGTTTTGTTCACTACAATCATCATCTTTAGAATATCTATCTCTACCAGTGTAGCCATGCCAACTTAGTAAAATACAAAGACAAAGTAATGGAGAGAATGCCTAATATTTTTCATTCATCCCCAAAGAATTTATATTCTAGTGAGACTACCTAATTATTGAAAGGATAAAACCATCTTACTTGGGTGGTAGTATTTTTTTTTCTGGGAGGTTTCATAAAAACCACAGCAGATCACTACTAAATTGGCCACCAGTTAGCCAGTTCTACATACTACACACAGACAGGCAATTCTTCTTAGGCCCCCCACCTCTCATTTCCTCTGGAGCACCTGTATCTGAGAAGCTTCAACGAGCAAGAGTATGAATTTGCCCTTACATACAGAGCAGAATGACTAGTTTTCCTAATCATGGCATCTTAGAGACACCAGAAACCTATCATCTTCCTCTTCTTACTCTTCCAGCCCTCTCTGGCTTAGAATTTCACAATTATCCACTCATTCTTTCTTCTCTTTTTGTTAAAGTTATCTGTATCCACTTTTAGAAGGCAAGAAATCCTGGAGAAGGCAAGCCATTTGTGGGAGAGTTATCAGTTCTCTGGACTCTTGGATTAGAAAAAGACAGTTGTCTGAAAATGGGAAGTTAGGGGAGAGTAGAGAAAAAAAAAACCTACTGGTAAAAAATGGGAGATTAGAGAGAAGGAAAAAAGAGATAAAGGCTGGCCAGGCGCGGTGGCTCATGCCTATAATCCCAGCCCTTTGGGAGGCCGAGGCGGGTGGATCACGAGGTCAACAGATCGAGACCATCCTGATCAACATGGTGAAACCCCGTCTCTACTAAAAATACAAAAATTAGCTGGGCATGGTGGCGCACGCCTGTAGTCTCAGCTACTCGGGAGGCTGAGGCAGGAGAATTGCTTGAATCCAGGAAGTGGAGGTTGTGGTGAGCTGAGATCGCGCCATTGCACTCCAGCCTGGGTAACAAGAGCGAAACTCCGTCTCAAAAAAAAAGGGGGTGGGGTGGGTGGGATAAAGGCACAGAGCCAGGGCAGAAAGGAGCATCCTCTTCCCTTAACCTGACCAAGAAGACTCATTACCCAGCTCTTTTCTCTGCAGCTTCTCCTCTGCCATTCTATTTGTACAAACTATTTAGAAATTAACAACAGTAAAAGAAATACTTGTCAAAACCTGTGGAATGCAGCTAAAGCAGTACTGGAAGAAAATGTATGTGTTTGTATATGTGTATGAAATATATTTGTCAGAACACTAGAAAGGTGACAGGTAAATGAATTTGAACTAAGCATTC